TGCCCTTGGATGACCAGAAACCCTATTTATGTTATTTGCAAGCCATTGTTGACGGCTATGCTATCTAAGCTTTCTTTGATTAATTATTCTTTGTTAGGAGAGAAGGGAGGAACTCCTATCAGAGTCCTCCTGGAACTCCATTGGTTTTGGTTTTATATTATTTATGTTATTCATCTATTCATCTATGATTTTTGTGACAGTCTTCATATCTGAATAGATCCACCTGTTGGATTTTTGGATTTAGGGTTCAGATAGGTTGTGGGATTAGCCAACTATAGAATGCTAAGTTGTGATATTCATTGTTAGGATGTTCTTAATGCTTGTTTCTAGAGTCATGAACTAGAACAATGAACTGAAATAGTTTAATTTATTAATCTTCATCCTGATATCATCCTCTACAAACTCAGATCTTTAGGCACGTGCGATAGGCGGTCTAATTAAATCTCGGGTGAACACAGGTTCGATTCGATCCGATGCTATATCGATCGATACTCCTATAGAGTAATCAATCGACGGCAACACATATCGACCGACACTGCGATAGCAACATCGGTCGATACTGTCGGCATTCAGATCAATGGACGAGTCTAACTAGCGATAGCTATAGATTTGTCTAAGAATTGAAGTTCTTATATATCATGCATGCAACTTGTTAGGCATCTATAGCATTATAATCCCGATTACCTGAATAGAAACCCTAGATCTAGCAACAATACTTCGATCCAACAAATTCTTGCCAAGCTGAACAATTACCTTGTTCATCTTGTTTACTGTTTTCTAGTTTACTTTACTTATTTACTTCATTAATATCTATTAGCCTAGCTTAATCATATAACTATTTGATCTTTTAGGTTCCCTAGCTCCCCGTGAATTCGGTCCCTAAGTACTACAATTGAACCTCTTATTTGAGAGAGCAATTCACTCCGTAGGGTTAAACATTTGAGTGATATCGGCTTCTATTGCTGGATGTATCCAAAGCACTTTGATACTTCAAAGCTATCCCTCTAAAGAAAGTACTAAGCAGTTGTACTTCATTAAACCCATGGTGTGGACAATCGCATTGGAAGAACTTAAATCTCTGCCAAGAATCCTTAAAAGAGTCTCCAGGCTTTTGTGTAAAAGTAGCAATTCTACTCCTTAGTTCCGCTGCTCGTCCCTCATCAATGAAATTGTGCAGGAACGCATTCTTGATGTAAGCCCATGATGTAAAAGATCCTGGTGGTAACTGCTAGAGCCAATGTGCAGCCTCTCCAGCAAATGAGAATTTAAAGAGCTTACACAATAGGTAGTCCTCAGGGACTCCTTTATTTCTGATAGCAGCAACGAGATTTTTGAACCTCTCAAGATGGTCCTTAGGATGCTCATGTGGCGTCCCACAGTAGGGTAGCTGTGCCACAAGGGNGGTGGTAACTGCTAGAGCCAATGTGCAGCCTCTCCAGCAAATGAGAATTTAAAGAGCTTACACAATAGGTAGTCCTCAGGGACTCCTTTATTTCTGATAGCAGCAACGAGATTTTTGAACCTCTCAAGATGGTCCTTAGGATGCTCATGTGGCGTCCCACAGTAGGGTAGCTGTGCCACAAGGGTGTAGTAATGAGGTTCAACTCAAAATTCTCCCTCTGGACGTCTGGGAGACGAATAGATGACCTATTTGCGTAGTACTGATCTGGACGGTTGTAGTCGGCCAAGGTCTTAGGTTGAGTATCTCCTTCAGTTCAGGTTCAGGGATAATGTTACCCTGAGTATCTAGTTTCTGACCTGTTGCATTACGCAGATGACCCTCCTGGTCATACAGGTTTCCATCCACGTGCGCGGTTAGAATCAAAGGCGCAACCATGTCTCGCGGATTAGAATCGATCGATGTACGTTTATCGGTGTCGGTCGATGTCAAGTGATCAGAATCGGTTGACAAAATACCAAAATAGTTGTAAAGTTATTTATGAAATGTTCATCATTTAAATCAAAACAATATTTTATTGAATTCATCTACCCCAGTGAGAAACTCTCTCGAGTTTTCTTCATCAATCTTCTTGTACATCCAATCACGCAAATTAGTATAATTGGTGTAATTGCCCGTCTTTGTCGTTCACGATTTTTTTTTGATAATCTTGAAAAAAAATTTGGAATTTGATTCTTTCATGAGTGATGAGAATAAGAAAGGTGTCGGTTCACCTCTATATATAAAATATTTACCAACTGTTTTGCTACTATTTTGGTACTGATCTTGCGACTAACACGATCAGTCGTAAAAAAAACTTGTATACCAAACTCAGTGACGATTTTCACGTGTTTTGTAACTGCATCTTGCGACTGATATGTGATTATTTAATGGCCACTGATTTCAGTCGTTAAATGGTCGTGAATTTTGCGACCGATAACTGGAGAAAATGTACCGACCTAACAAGAGTATCTAAATAGTCTTAAATTACCGACTTATTTACGACTAACTTTCATAGTCGTAAAATAGCGACTAACAAGCGACTGAATTTTTTTGGTCGCACATCAGTCGCTAAATGGTCGGTATCTCATTGGTATATTTAGTGACCGTGGCTATAGTCGCAAAATTCATAGGGAAATCCCTGTTTTTTAGTAGTAAATTAGGGATGTTAACATGGGCTACCCGGGCCCGTTTAGACCCGTTTAATGCAAGCCCGTTTAGACATGTTTAATGTTTAAATTCGTTTAAGGTTTAGCCTGTTGTTGATATTACCCGTTTAGGTTTTTTTGTGAATTCTATTTTTTTCAATAATCTTTTGTCTTATCCTAATATAATTTTTAATAGTTTTTATTTGATTTTGTAACTTTATAGTAAATCAAAATTCAAATTACAGAAAAATTTGAAAAAATAATCTATTTACTTTTGTTAAATATTAGTTAATTCATAATCTCATATAAATATCAACACATTCTAGTAAGTTTTAAACACAATTATAACCTAAAGATTTTCTTTAAAAAAAAACAAAAACTATATATAATATAAGTATTTTGTTTTAAAATTAGGTACCCGTTTATTTAACGGATATGCCCATTAATGAGACAGACCTAAATGAGCGGACCAATATAAACCCATTTATTTTTTATATCATATTAAACGGATAATGGATCCGCCCATTTTTACTAAGTCTATTAAGCCCGCGGCTTCAATCCCATTTTAACATCCCTAGGAATAATGTTGAATAAAAACTGATAAGCGCTAAAGATTTTGGAAAAAAAATGGGATGAAGAAATATAACTTGGCAAATACCAGTGTGAGTCTGGACACAAGATAGCAAAATCTTTTGGAGAAAGAGAGATTGATGCAACAAGCTTTAGGAAGATTGTTGGATGTTTTTAGTATCTACTTCATACATGACCTGATCTATCCTATTGTGTTGGAGAGTTAAGTAGATATATGTAGAGTCCCAAAGAGTCTCATGGAGTAGCAATGAAGCAAATGTACCTACAAGGGAGCACTTCTTGCAGATTGACATGCGAACAGTCTATCTCAGACGCACTAAAACTTGTTGCCGACAGCGATAGTAGTCACAATGAGGATCCATATGATGGTAGGAGTACGACACGACATCTATCTTATTAAAACAAAAACATTAGGATATACATAAGATTTATTTTATAAAATTTTAAATTAAATACATCTTTCTGAGATCTTTAAAAAAGAAAAACGTCAAGTGTTTGAAGTTAGTTCTTTTTACGAGGTTGATCATCAGATTTTAGTGGAACAATAAGCAAAAAATAACACTCCTCTGAATTGTCTAGCTCACTCTTTAAATCCAATGTATATGATTTTAAACTATATGGTTTTTTTCTTTCTTTTTGTGTTGCTGCCTCATACAAAACATGTTTTGTATTGTAGATTTTATAGTGATGAATGGCTAAGTGAAGATTCTACAAGACGTGGTCCACATAGATATCAAGAAGTCTCCAGAGAGAGAATGAAGTGTTTTCGAAGATTGTTTCTAAGTATTGATGATCATCTTAAGGTTATGGATGAATATGCTTTGTTCTCCATGAGAACTGGTCCTTTTGAGGATTTGACATAAATTTCGCTGATGTTTACTATGGAACCCAAAAAGTGGTGGACTAACTTTGGTGTTCAAACTCCTTTCCTACAGACTTTGGCTTTTAAGGTGCTTGGATAGCCTAGTTCATCTTCATGTGTTGAACGTAATTGGAGTACTTATTCATTTATTCATTCACTCAGAAGGAATAAATTGAATCCAAGTCGTGCTCAAGATCTAGTGTTTATCCACAACAATTTACGTTTTTTATCTAGGAATTCTAAGCAATACGAAGACGAAATACAAAAATTTGGGATGTTGGTGGAGATGACTTTGATTCAAGATATGGGATATTTGGAGTTTGCAAATCTTTCACTAAATGAACCAAATTTGGAGAACAAAATGATCAATGATTAGTTTTTTTTTTTTTTTACTTAAGATATTATAGTGATGTTTTTATTTATTTAATATATTATCATAGTGTTTTATTTTATATGAGAATTATGTTTTGGTTTATTATTTATTTATATATATATATATATATATTTATAAACGTACTCATACCGTCCCCGTATCCATAAATTTTAAGTTAAGCCGTTTCTCGTCCCCGCCCCGTTCCCGTATCCGTCCCAGTGCATCATCATAGATGCTCATCTAGGGTTGAGTCTCTTATGGTTTAAATCAAAATTGGTGGTTTGGCTCCTCAACCGGTTTATATAAAAATGAATTGAAATAACCCTTAAAACAATGAGCATGCTCTCTAATTAAATCACACTTTTCTCTGTTCCCACCGCCGCAAGCTGTAGCCATCGACGCCATTGTTGCCGCGCCTTCCGCTTCTCTCATGTAGTAGTACTCTTTTCTGTACTTTGCTTGTCATTTTTCTTAGCTCTCCTTTGCATAGTTAGCCACTTATTGTTCGAATATATTTGGGATTCATTCTAAGAATTTGAACAGTTGATGCTCTGATTATTGGGGCATCGTTACATTCTGCAGCCAAAGATGGGCAGCGAAATGGAGAAAGGGAGAGAGGAAGAGGACGATATAGTTTGCTTAGATGAGTCCTTCTTCGTCAACGATGAGTAATTCTTTCAAAAATGAAACTGTTTGGTTTTGGCTAACTCAAGCGTTTGGTTTGCTTAGTAAGTAGACATTTGTTTTGGATGCAGTTATCAGTTGACGACCTTTACGTTTGGATCCAACGTCCTTGAGCTCTACTGTCTCCAATCAGCTTCAAGTGAGTTTACATTTTTCTTTTTATCTTATATAAATCAGCTTTTTTGTGATGTTTGAGTCGTTGTGATCACAGCTGATTGTGATTTTTTTTCTCCATCATTCATCCTTTGACTAGATGGATTTAGCTTTGTATAGGAGCTCTGGTGCTTTTAATGGACGTCCTTTTGTAGTTAGTTATCTAACATAAGTTATCTTGGCAGCTGATTTTGATTTAACTGGGCAACTCGTTTGGCCTGGTGCTATGCTTATGAACGGTTATCTCTCCGAAAACGCTGACATTCTCCAGGGATGTTCAGTTTTGGAGTTTGGATCTGGAGTTGGTAAGTCTTTTTTTTTCTTTTTGTCTCTTGTTTATCGTAGTAATTTCTGGCTAATCACCTTCTGTGTCTCTTCAAGTTTTAGTTAAGAATGTTGATATAGTAAACACAAACAATCAATATGTCATGATTGGTCTTTCTTTGGTCTTTGGTGGCATATCTAATTTGCAGACTGTTCTCCCAAAGCGTAAAGGCTCTTTATTATGTTTTTTTTTTCGTTTGAATTCATATGTAGTATTTTATCTTTGATCTTGTTAAAAAACAGGTATAACAGGAGTCCTCTGTAGCAAATTTTGCCGTAAAGTTGTTTTTACTGACCACAACGATGAAGTTCTCAAGGTATGTGGATTTAGCTAAAAAAAAATTCTGAGAATAATTCACGCAAGTTGGTCTTTCAAAACGAAGTTTTCAGATACTGAAGAAAAACATCGAGCTTCATGAACATTCAAGCGGTCCAAACCCCTCAGCTGGTGTGAAGAAATCAACTTTGCTATTTGTTCTCGTCTTTACATGCTTCTGACGTGTTCCTCTGTTTCGTGTTTCTATCTACAGAATTACAGGCTGCAAAGCTAGAATGGGGAAACAGTGATCATCTTGGTGAAATTTTACAGAAACACAGTGATGGCTTTGATCTTATTCTTGGAGCTGATATCTATATCCTTATGTTCCGTTAACTGTTTATCCTCTGTTTGTTTTGGTTTTGGTTCAATTCATAAACCAAATTGAGCACTCCCATATGGTTTGAAAAATGTAGCCTTGACAATACGCAAGCTTTCAGCAATCTAGTGTGCCGTTGCTATTTGACAGTGTAGAACAGCTTCTGCGGATCAGAGGACATGGAAATTGCAAGTTCATACTAGCATATGTATCACGGGCTAGACAGTAAGCTCTTGTCAGCCACAAGGCTATCGATTTTCATTTGTGCCACAAAGTAAAAACTAAATGAAACATTGTTTCAGGATGGACTCAGCGATCTTGAGGGAAGGCTCTCAGCACGGCATGGTAATGAGTGAAGTTCCTGGGACCCGGTGTACCGTAGGAAACTTGGAAGGGGTTATATTTGAGATTATTCTTAAATAAAAGAAGAAACAACATAACACTTGGAGTAGTTTTCTTGCATTTCTTTTTTTTTGATGTTTTTATAGGTGCATACATTTGGTGAACTTGATTAATTAATCAAGTGTTTGAAAGTATGCATTGACATTGTGGATGCTTTGAAGATAACCCACACCGGTCGGTGAAAAACTGTTACAACTAACATTATCTTCTTTTTGATAGTTGGTACATCCAATTAGTGACTACGATTTGATTTTTTTTTTTTCTCTTTACTGGAGATAATACTTGCGTGACCTTCAAAAGTAATTTTTGAATAGATCCTAGTAGTTGTGATAACGATATCATTTAAGGATTCGAGCTCTTAAGTCACACTAAAGATTATAGCATTATAAGAAGACAAAATGAAGCATTACATAGCAACCCGATTGGCTATATACTATAATTCAGGTCACAAGTGTTTTTTTGCGGACGGTCCAATTGCCTTAACTGGTTTATTGTTGACATTCCAATTGGCTTAACTGGTGTTCTCTGTTGGCAGTCCAATTGATTTAACATGTGTGGTAGCTGAGATCCATGGGTAATACTAAATCCTAGTCGATTTACCATCTCCACTAGCTGTGGCAAGATTTGTTGCCAGGATATATCTTTCTTTATGATTTCTTTTGGATCACACTATGACGAAGAATGAACTGACTATAAATGATTTTTTTAATAGTCTTGCTAGTTTAAGGCTTCGAGTTTTGCGAATAGAGAGGATCGTTGAAATTTGCATAAACCAAGTTCTTCATCTTTTGATTGTTTGTTCTGTACATGAAAAATAACACTACGGGGTTGCTTGGAAAGGGTTTAGCTTTATGTGTTGGGACTCTAAATGTAACGCCCCGACCGCCCACAGCTAATGGGCCATCTACGCCCGCTCTCTCGGCTTGTGGGCCCTATCCCGTTCCAACGGCTTATGTTCTTCATGTAGCATTCAAACCGAATGACTCTATGAAATTACGTCGGTCCGTTAGTTTTCCAAGGCTCTAGAGTCATGTTTACTGACCCTACAATCACCACATGACCTTTTCCCGTGCTTAGGCCTCACTTAGACGGTATCGCAAATCACTTCCCGATAGGTCACCCATCCTTTGACTACTCCAGCTCAAGCACACTTAATTTTGGAGTTCTCTATGGATGTGCTCCCGAAAAGGTAAGTGAACTTTGGTGACATAGGTAGTCAAATCAATTCTCTTAAGTCTTTCCGTATATCAGAATTTGGGATGTTACAATTCACTCCCTCTCAAAGAACGCAACGTCCTCGTTGCGCCCCACGACAGGTCTCAAGACGTCTCTCGGGTCAGAACTGAGATGGCTAACCAGCTATGATACCACTTGTAACGCCCCGACCGCCCACAGCTAATGGGCCATCTACGTCCGCTCTCTCGGCCTGTGGTCCCCATCCCGTTCCAACGGCTTATGTTCTTCTTGTAGCATTCAGACCGAATGACTATGAAATTACGTCGGTCCGTTAGTTTTCCAAGGCTCTAGAGTCATGTTTACTGACCCTACAATCACCACATGACCTTTCTCCGTGCTTTGGCCTCACTTACACGGTATCGCAAATCACTTCACGATAGGTCACCCATCCTTTGACTACTCCAGCTCAAGCACACTTAACTTTGGAGTTCTCTATGGATGTGCTCCCGAAAAGGTAAGTGCACTTTGGTGACATAGGTAGTCAAATCAATTCTCTTAAGCCTTTCCGTGTATTAGAATTTGGGATGTTACAATTCACCCCCTCTCAAAGAACGCAACGTCCTCGTTGCGCCCCACGACAGGTTTCAAGACGCCTCTCAGGTCAGAACTGAGATGGCTAACCAGCTCTGATACCACTTGTAACGCCCCGACCGCCCACAGCTAATGGGCCACCCACGTCCGCTCTCTCGGCCTGTGGGCCCCATCCCGTTCCAACGGCCGGTCCGTTAATTTTCCAAGGCTCTAGAGTCATGTTTACTGACCCTGCAATCACCACATGACCTTTCCCCGTGCTTTGGCCTCACTTACACGGTATCGCAAATCACTTCCCGATAGGTCATCCATCCTTTGACTACTCCAGCTCAAGCACGCTTAACTCTGGAGTTCTCTATGGATGTGCTCCCGAAAAGGTAAGTGCACTTTGGTGACATAGGTAGTCAAATCAATTTTCTTAAGCCTTTCCGTATATCAGAATTTGGGATGTTACACTAAAATTTTTTGTTTAAGAAATTCTAGTATCAATGGCCGAGATAGAAAATAATTCTACCAAGGTCATAATTTAAATTAATTAAATTAAAAATACATAAAAATACAATTCAGTAATATTAATTTAAGTATTTTGTAGCATTTGACTATTTAGCTATTTTAATGTTTAGGAGAAATTATACTCGAAGAAAAAGGTATAGTATTGAAGATATTTAAAAACTAGCTGTTAAATAAATCTTTAAAACAGAAATAGAAAATGAACTAAATAAATTGCAAAACAACTGAAAAAAAATAAATATGTTACAAGAGAAATATATTATCTATAAGAAATACTTTAAAACATCCAAAACAATGAGAATGTAAAAAACATATAAAGACGTTGGAAAAGCAATAGAAAAACTGGTTGAAGAGGAAGGCGATGGCGATTGGCGGCTCCTGAGATCAAAGTCTCACCTGAGATTTTGTTCTTCTTCTGATCTACGTCCTTTGACGTCTCTGATCACCTTCTTACCCTCGACAGCTTCATCTGGTTCTCAGATCCATGCGTTAATATGTTTGCGCCTCAATCTCCAGTCCATACGTCCTTCGCAGATTAAGGATGATCTGAAGGGAGTGGAGTTTGAAGTCCGTGTACCTGTTTGGATCGCTCGTTAGTGATCAGACGGATACTGTTATTCGCCAGTGTGATCTTTTTTCATCTGGCTTCTGTTTATCAACACCCCACAGACGACGTGACGCCTAAGTCTCCTCTGTGTCGTCTCCTTAACAGGGGAGCTTTGTTTTTATCTGTGCTATGGGATCTATGCGTCGCAATACTTCTGTTCATATGGCAGAGGATAAGGGTAAAGGCATACTCTACGAAGATGATGATGCTCCGATCAGATTAATGGATCAAGACGATTCCTTTGAAATAAAGGAGCATCGCATGTCCTTGATCGGGAAGGTGCTAAACCCTAAAAAACAAAATGTAGTCAAGCTGATCCAGACGATGCCGGGGCAATGGGGTATGCAAGATCGGATCACAGCCAACGACTTGGGGAATGGCAAGTTCCTTTTGAATTTCACTTCAGAGGATGATCTTAATTATGTCCTGCGCCAAGGACCCTTTCACTACAATTTTTGGATGTTTGTGCTAGTGCGTTGGGAACCCATTGTTCACGACGACTATCCTTGGATCATCCCCTTTTGGGTCTCCATAGTTGGACTGCCATTACATTTGTGGAGTGATAAGAACTTAAGGCTCATAGGAGACAGAATTGGCAAGGTCGATACCATGGAGCTTACGGAAGGTAGAATGTTTATTCACATTGATACCATGAGACCTTTGAAGTTCAAAAGACATGTTCAGTCTCCGGAGGGGGATGAGGTTTCAGTTGAAATCCAATCTGACAAACTGTTTAAACACTGCCGAACATGTGGCCTTATGACACATGAAAAGAGGCCATTGCCTTCTGGAATCTACTAGCAACTCACAAGCTGGGAAAGGAGATGTCTTCTCGCGAGTACAGGCTCCACCACAATCGAGCAACCTGCAGGGCCTCAGCACCCGGAACAACACAGCGCTCATGTCTCGATAGCATACGTGGAGCAATGGAGAGAGGGGGCACCACCGTACTAGTTCTTTCTCGAGTAACAGAAACAGAGTTGAGGAGGTAAGGCGCCAAGAGGACATGGAGGCTACAAACAGCTATAAGCCGTATAAAGATAGGATCATCAGAGGGAAGAGAAGTAGGCCTGAGGAACATCGGTTTGAAAGAGGACCTTATGCACGTAGACCAGACAATGTATGGAGGGAGAAGAGAGGGACGAAAGACAAGCAGAGATCACGATCACCTAAACCTCATGATGTTGGTCCTTATGATCAACATGTTGTGAGTGATGTTTTGAGTGCGTCTCGATCACATAGGGAGAGAAGGACTTCGAGTGATCAACCAAAGAGACGCCTAGTGAGTGCCATTGTCTCGCCCACAAAGTCCATGCAAGTTCTGGACAGAAATGTAACTGTACGTGCTAAGGGAGCTACGCGAGCTATATTGTTCTCCCCGCAATCTCTTCAAGTTGACACAAACGCCTTGGAAAACGACCAGATGATTGATGCTCTTAATGACATGGATTCTCTGGCTCAAACAACAAGTGAGATGGTGGTAAGTGATGAATGAGGTGATGATTTGTTGGGGGAGGAACATATGGATTTACAAGAGGAAGAGAATCGTGCTGCACCTGCTAAATTAAGAGCTAAGGAACAAAGAAGTGAGGTCAAACCTTCACGGGATAGGACTCGTTTGATTGCTCCGTTGGGTATACGAACAAAGAAATCTGAGTTTATTCGTTGCGGTTCACCAAGGGCTTGAGTCGCAATGTCTCCTGGTCCAGAAGATGGTGAGAAGAAAGCGGAAAAGAAAACTAACCATGGACATGGGGGAAGGGGCAGAAGACATGCGCAATTAACAAGGA